GGTGCTCCTCAAGGGAAGCCCCATGTAGAGAGCATTGCAGTAGTCCAGGCGGGAAGTCACAAGGGCATGAGTGACCGTGCGTAAGGCGTCCCGGTCCAGAAACGGCCGCAACTGGCGGATCAGGCGAACCTGATAAAACGCTCCCCTGGTCACGGCCGACAACTGGTCGTCCAGTGTCAACCGTGGATCCAGGAGAACAGAAGGATATACACACGTAGTCCTTGACTTACGGACAGTATTGAGCCGAAAATTTATGTTACTAAGCGAGACTTTTGTTAGGCGAGTTTTGGCCCACTTTAGAGAATTTTTTTGCCTCATTTGTTAAGTGAATCCCTGCAGCTGCTAAGCTAATAACGTGGTTGTTAAGTGAATCTGGCTTCCCCCACTGACTTGGCTGATCAGAAGGCCACAAAATGGGATCATGTGACCTTGGGACATGATCATAAATATAAGTTAGTTGCCAAGCACCTGAATTCTGATCACACGATCCTGGGGATGCTACGAAGGTCGAAACTATGAAAAATGGTCCTTTTTTCAGTGCTGTTGTAACTTTGAACGGTCATCAAACGAACTGTTGTAAGTTGAGGACTACTTGTATGTATTTGCACTTTTGTGTGACTCAGATCTCTGGCTGCTATGCAGCGATCACGGCAGCTGAAGCTCAGTGCCTGGTCCTGCTGAATGAGATGGACAACAGGAACCAAACACAGAGGGATAGAATCAAGATCCCGTGAAGGGTTAATACCATTTTACAAGGCCTTGGTAAGGCCACACTTGGAATACTGCACCCAGTTTTGGTCACCACGATGTAAAAAAGATGCTGAGACTCTAGAAAGAGTACAGAGAAGAGCAACAAAGATGATTAGGGGACTGGAGGCTAAAACATATAAGGAATGCTTGCAGAAATTGGGGATGTCTAGTTTAATGAAGAGAAGGACAAGGGGGGACATGATAGCAGTGTTCCAATATCTCAGGGGCTGCCCCAAAGAAGAGGGAGTCAAGCTCTTCTCCAAAGCGCCTGAAGGCAGGAGAAGCAGCAACAGATGGAAACTAACCAAGGAGAGAAGCAACCTGGAACTAAGGAGAAACTTCCTGACATTAGAACAATTAACTAGTGGAACAACCTGCCTCCAGAAGCTGTGAATGCTCCAACACTGGAAGTTTTTAAGAGACTGGACAGCTATTTGTCTGAAATGGTATAGGTTTCCTACCTGAGCAGGGGGTTGGACTAGATGACCTCCAAGGTCCCTTCCAACTTTTTATTATTATTATTATTATTATTATTATTATTATTATTATTATTATTATTATTATTATTATTATTATTATTATTATTATTATTATTCAAAGCTTCCTCTGGGGAGAAAAAAAGGGGAACTTAAAACAAGCTCTCTTATACTCTTATTTTGGCTTAAAAGTAAGTAATATTTGCTGCTGTCCAATGTTGCTCCCATTCGCTGCCATGGAGTTATTTTTAATAGTTTTAAAATAGTTTCCTTGGTAAAGTATTTCTAGCTTTAGAATTCTAGCATTCAGCACACACTAGTTTAACAAGGCTACAAGGGCTAGTTTTGCATTCCCACTGGGTTCAAATTCAAAATGCATCTGAAAGAAACACGGAACAAAATGCCTGACCGGGGGGGGAGTACAAACTGCCACGCCACGCTTGGAATACCTGGCAGTGGCTCCTCTACCCATTTCTGCAACGGTACAAATAACAGAGTTGGAAGGGACTTTTGAGGTCTTCTAGTCCAACCCCTTGCTCAGCAGGAAACCCTCTACCATTTCAGAGAAATGGTTGTCCAATCTCTTCTTAAAACCCTCCAGTTATGGAGCAATGACAAGTTCTAGAGGGAAGTCGTTCCACTGGTTAATTGTTCTCACTGTCAGGAAATTTCTCCTTAGTTCTAGGTTGCTTCTCTCCTTGATTAGTTTCCATCCGTTGTTTTTTGTCCTGCCTTCTGGTGCTTTGGAGAATAGCTTGACTCCCTCTTCTTTGGGGCAGCCCCTCAAATACTGGAACCCTATCATGTCACACACACACCCCGCCCCAATCCTTTTCTCTAGACTAATACCCAATTCCAGCAACTGTTCTTCGTATGTTTTAGTCTCCAGCCCCTAATCATCTTTATTGCTCTTCTCTGCACTCTTTCCAGAGTCTCAACATCTTTTTTATAATGTGGTGACCAAAACTGGTGCAGTATTCCAAACGTGGTTTTACCAAAGCATTATAAGTGGTACTAACACTTCACGTGAACTTGATTCCATCCCTCTGTTGATGCAGCCTAGAACTGTGTTGGCTCTTTTGGCAGCTGCTGCACAGGGCTGGCTCCTGTTTAAGTGATTGTCCACTACGCTTACTACGGTACTATTGAACTAGGGACCACCTATACCAGGGGTGGTGAACCATGGCACGGGTGCCAGAAGCGGCACGCAGAGCCCTCTCTGTGGGCACGTGCACCGTCGCCCCAGTCCTAGGCCTTCAGCTGGGTTTTATTAAACCTTTTCACTTTAGGCCTCTGCCGCCGTGTGCAAAAAAAAAAAAAAGGTTCAATCAATCAGTCAATTTCAACTTCTTGTGGGAAAAAAAAAGATCTTGCAAAGTTGGAATTGATTGATTGAACTTTTTAGTCCCACCTAGTCTGCCATTACCATCGCAGCCACGCCCACCCAATGGGCCACACCCACCCGGCACCCAACAATGCATAAGTGGGTTTTGGGTTGCAGTTTGGGCACTTGGTCTCTAAAAAGTTCGCCATCACTGGCCTATACTATACTTGTGCATGTGGTTTTTCTTGCCTAAATGTAGAACCTTACTTTTTTTCACCACTGAATTTCATTTTTTCAGTTAGTGCCCAGTGTTCAGGTTTTGTGTGTAAGGCCCCCAGGCAAGTTGAGGGGCAGCTTCTGCCAGAGCCCTGGGCCTGCTGGGAGAGCAGCACTCAAAAGAATTCGGGGACTCACTCAGGGCTCGGGAGTGGTCGGGGTTCCGGATGCCCTTGGCTCTCAGTTTCTGCAGCAAGGTCACCGAGGTCAGCTGCTTCACCAGGTAAACGGACAGGGAGTAATTCTGGGAGAGAGCAAAAGCAGGATTATGTCGTGGACAGAAAGAAATATATTTAAGACGCTTGGCTCTGACTTACATTTATAAATTCATTCATTCATTCATTCATTCATTCATTCATTCATTCATTCATTCATTCAAGCAAGCAAGAGGCTTCGTTCTGATTCTCATGTGTTGGCTAGTTTCTTTATTCATTTAAACCAGAGTTCCCCAACATTTCCAGATTTGTGGCCTTGCCAGGGGAGGGGGGAGAAGAGATGGTTCCACGCAATTGTGCAAGTGGGGATGTGCGCACGCTCACGCTTGCCTACCACTTCTGCGGCCCGGTTCTGTACAGCTCAAGGCCTGGTAGCGGCCCAGGGCTTTGGGGGACCCCTGATTTAAAGGATTTCTATGGCTACTTATCTTAAGCAACTGGGGGTGACTCACAATAACAAGGGGGAGTTGTCTACTCTTTGCTCCCTTAAGGCTCCTGCCACTGTAACTGTGATGTTGCAAATTAAGCCAGTGTTTCTCCACCTGGGCAGTTTTCAGATCTGTGGACTTCAACTCCCAGAATTCCTCAGCCGGCCATGATTTAAGCCAGAGGACCCCCCTCCCAAGCAACCTGGAATTAAGGAGAAAGTTCCTAACAGTGAGGAGAATTAACCAGTGGAACAGAAGTTGCCTCCAGAAATTGTGGGTGCTCCATCCATGGAGGTTTTTAAGAAGAGGCCGGACAGTCACTTGTCTGAGA